AAAAAAAAAAATCCCTATGCCCCTTTCAACCCCTCCACCAATTATTATACACACAGTAGCCCTTTCAACCTTCAATTAAATTTACACAAGCCTCACCATTTTTTCCCCAATATCCCACGATACCTAAAAATCATCGGCTCTGCTAGCACTATCAATTCCTCAATAATACTTTAAAATCCCTTATTATTCTTGCTATCGTCCTTATCAGTTCCTCCAATAATTTCTAAAACCCTTCAGCTACCTCATAACATTTTTCCGACCTTTCAGTGTTCTTGGACCCTCCGAGCTAGCTACCCCTAGAATAAGGGGTAGCGCTACTATTTGGAAAAGGCCCTCAACACTCTGCTACTAGACCATTTAGTCCTGGTAAAGTCCTCGATCCTGCTATCTCTGAAAGATCTCAATATTCACATTTAAAAATCCCTCGATAGCCCGGCCATTCACTCACTGCCCCTCAATCCTATCCCGCACCCCAGTATTAATACCTAGAAAGCCCCCGTCGTCGTGCTCCCCTCCGCATCAACGCCGCCAGAGCGCCCCCAGCTCCCCTCTCCCTCCGCCTCCCTTCCCCCCCACAATGGTGATAGTACTACACAAGACGTCGCCGGGACCTCCCCACCGCCGCCCCTCCGCGCCGCCCCCCACGGCGCCTCCCCTCCCCCACGCCCCCGCGGGCTCCCAACGCCCGTTCGCCGGCCCCGGCCCAGCCTGGCTCACTCACATCGGCTCCAGTAACTTAGCCAGCCAGGACTTGAGGGCATCCACATCCTCTATGAGCATGGTGCAGGGAAGGCGGGCTCGGCCGCCGCTCTTCTTCAGGCCTGCCGTGGGTCCCCGCTCGCCGCCTCCTCACGCTCTCTTCACAGCCCCTGGTACCCTAGCCCACCGGGCATCTTAGGAGACTTCAATCTACTCCCCTGGCCAGGGCCTAACAGGAACTAACCCAAGAGCCTCACTCAACCTAGCCCGAAGGCGAAAATGGGCGGGAGAGAGCGCGGAGCGGCGGGCATGACAACCAATAGAAAAGAGAGGGCCGTGCGCGCAGGTCCAATGAAAAGGCTCGCTCTCCCCGCCGGCCGGCAGTGCCCAGTTAGGGAGGAGGGATATAGCAAGGTAGGTAGAGAGCTTAAGTGAACTCCTGGTGCAAGATGGTATCTTGGAGAAGGTGCTGTGCCTCTTAAAGGAGCCGCGACGCCTCTCTTGACCACGCCGCTGCCGGCCGCGAAATACCGGTGTCTGCTATTGGGAGTGCCTGGGGGAACCCGGCGAGCCCCTCATGCTGGTTCCTTCCTCTCGTTTTTCCTGGAAACACACTCTCGTGTCCCGAAATGACTCAGCTGTAGTAAATCTGCAATACAACGTGCAATACGTTCAGGTTCCACACATTGCAAAGAATGCAAAATCTTACTTTTCTTTTTCATTACACCCTCATTTTGATCGGCACTCATGCTTGTATTTTTTGCCGCTAAACTTAAATTACGCAGAATGTTTCTTGACAACCATGCCGGGGATCCAGTAATCCTCATTTTTAAAACGTGGCGCACAGTTGTAAAAGGTTAAGGCCATTTCAATCTTATTAGTAATATTAATAAATGCTTTACTTAGGAAGAAAAAATGATTCTAATAAGGTTTTGTTTTTAAAACTTTTTATTGCATATCTAAAATTTAGTATTTTTTGTTTTGATTTGATCTTTGCAGGGAGAATTTTGACGGCATACAAAAAAAGTTTAAAAAAAAATAGTAAAGACAAATTAGAAATTACCAAAATAGGCAATTTAGTTTGAACTAGGTAAGAACTTCCTTTTGGTGTTCTGAAATTACTGGCTTAGCACTGGTGTTAGAATATTTAGTAACGAATTCTGAGCCTGTGTTATGTGCATGCACTAAGGCACTAGGAGTCCAGTGGTGAACAAAGGGAAAGTGAACAGTTTTTGGAGTAATGCACTGTAATAATAACATTGTGAATAACTGATGAACACACATTTTATATAAAAGAGATGGATCAGCCCAGAATAAGTAGGTTCTCTAAATATACTGTGTGTAGAGCAGGTATAGGCAAGCTTTTTCTGTAAAGGGCCAGATAGTATTTTTTATTTTGTAGCAACTACTCAACACATAATGCCTGGACATGGACAATATGTAAACAAATGATTGTGGCTGGATGCAATAATATGACAAAGTTTCAATTTTATGTAGTTTTTCGCATCGTGAAATATTGTTTTAATTTTTCCACCTCTTAAAAAAGTAAAAGGCAAGACAGGAGATGGTGGCTCACACCTGTAATCCTAGCTACTCAGGAGGCAGAGATTAGGAGGATTGCAGATCAGGCAAATAGTTTGTGAGACCCCCATCTTGAAAATATCCAACTCAAAAAAGTGCTGGTGGAGTGACTCAAGGTGTAGGCCCTGAGTTCAAACCCCAGCATCAAAGGAAAGGCTTTGTAACCTCACAAGTGTACAAAAACAAGTGCCAGCAGGGTTTGGCTTGCTGGCAGGGGTTTGGGCACCCCTTATATAGAGCACTAAAAAATGGAAGTGCACTTAGAAATCATCTCATGAACCTCCTGGACTAACACTCTTCCTACAACTTTGTAAATGAGGAAAATAAATCCAAAGAGACGAACTGATTCACTTAGAATCACATGTTTGTAGATGGGTTAGCCAGAGCTTCTGACAGCTAGCCCAGAGCTTTCTCACATCCAAGGTTGTCTCTTCCTCTCTCTTCTCCTTCTTCCTTTTTGCTTACTCACCTTTTCCTTTTCCTTCTTTCCACAAAGAAGATGAAGTGTAACCCCCAAATGACATAAATTTGAAAAGGGAAAGGTACAAGTGACTTGATTAAGCCTAAGGCTAGTACCTGATAGAAATGGAACAGGAATTGCCTTTATCACAGTAAGTCACTCCTTTGCAAGAATGTCAAAATGCTTTTCAAATGTATTGATAGACAAATTTCATAGGTTTGATTTCCGAGGTGAAGGCACTGACATAGCAACTTCCTGGTGACTAGACATCATGTAACCAAGCACATTAGAAAGCACAATCATGATTATGGTGGTGAGATTGGTGTTTGGGAACCCTGGGTAATCTTCCCCCTTTCTCTACTGAAATGTCATGTTTCTTTTGTGAATTAAGTACATTAGGTAAACGGATATTAGGATTATTGCTTTGAATGTGGATATTGAATCCCAAACTGTATCTTAAAATAATTAGCATCCATAAAAGACTTGCTTTTCCAGAAGTAGAAAGTGGGATACAATAAAGTTAATCCACTGCCATGCTTGGCTCACTTCATTTGCTAGATGGTTTAGATTTGGTCAGCAGCCATGAGCCAGAATTTTTGCATTTACTTTATTCTGTAGCACGCATTGTGTGCACAGAACCAATTCACCTGCGGTCCATGAATGGATGGGGTACTGACGTCAGCCATGCAGGTGTTAGGCTACCCTGAGTGTAGCATATGTGTATATATATATATATATATATATATATATATATATACATATATATATACGTATATACGTATGTATATACGTATATATACGTATATATACGTATATATATACGTATATATACGTATATATATACGTATATATACGTATATACATACGTATATACGTATATATA